ACAGAGAAGTCAGGTGAAAAGATCAACACTGGAGCGTGGTGGTGAGACTGGGCTCAGATACAGCCGGGGCGTGGAGGAGTCTAGGCCCGGGACAGCTCCTAACTGACTTTTAGGTTCAGCGTCTTGATCACATTCAGTTCCCCAAGCACTCAGGGGAAGGTCCACGCTTCACCCATTAGACTATGACCTCCTAGAGGTCAGGGACTGTTTGTGCCTAACCCTAATTCCAAGGCACCCGGGGGAGCCACAATGTAGAGAACCAGGAAGACCTGAGTTCAAATGCTGACTCTGACACGTAACCAGTTGTGTGCCCCTGGGCAAGTCATTTAACCTCAGTTTCCTCAATTGTAAAATGGGAACAATAACAGCATCGGCCTCTCAGGGTTGCTGTGAGAATCAAATGAAATAAAGTCTGTACAGGGCTGAGCACCGGGCCTGGCACAGTAAGCGCCTGAATAGGACCTGGGAACAAACGATTCAGCACACAATAAAACACACTCAACGCAAGCTATACAGAACAGAATTTAATCTTTCTTTGACAAATGAGAAGGTACTTCAGTGGGATTCAGTCACCATCACAGAATCAACACCATGAGAAGCAACAGCTGTACCAGAAACAGCAGTGCAGCCTTATAACCCATCAGTGCCCCGAACACACCAAACAGCACTCTGGGGCCTCCCCGCTGCCAGCACTCCTCTGCCTTCGGGGTCCTCCTCCGCCTCCCTTCACCCAGTTAATGCCCTATTCTGGCCTTAATGTTCTGCCGAGTACAGGGGGGTGCAGAGATGAAAGAAGAATGTCAATAAGGTAAGAAGCAGGCCCTGACCTCGAGGACTTCGACATTCTCCTGGAGAGAAAAGCAAGAGGAAGCCTAAACGGTGGGTGGGGGGGGGAGGCGGGGCTGGAAATACTAGGTTGAGGAATTTGTATTTTACCTTGGACATAACAGACAATACGGGGTCAGGAAGGCCGATCCACCCCACCTCCCGGGGATGTTAACCCAGCTGCTGTGTGCAGTGAGACGCCCCTCAGGTATGCATGATCGGGCCATCCTCCGAAGTCACATAGCAGCCCATGGACCTCCCCTTCTTCCTATTACTACTATTTACGTCCATATCTTATCACAGGGAGACTAGAGACAGAAGGAACCCTAGAGGTCATCTAGTCCAGAGCCTTCATTGTACAAATGAGGAGGCTGAGGCCCAGGGACATGAAATAACTTGCCTAAGGTCACGGAAGGGGGATTCAAAGCGGGGCCCAAGCTTGTCTAACTGGTCTTCACATTCCCATCTCCCCTCCCAACATAGGGGCACAACAACTCTCTGTCACCAGAAGAGATGGAGAGACGGGGAATGAATGACCCGTGAGTGGGGGGGGCTCCAAGGAGCTCGAGGGGTCATCGAGCCTCTAATCATTTTAAGATGAAGAAACTACGACTTGAAAGGGGAGAGATCACTTCCAGTAGGTCACAAGCAAGCTTCCTTCTTACACACCTTCCAGCTGACAAACACCAAGCCCTTTAACCAAAGAGTGACAACTTTTACAGACAAATAAGAAAGAACAACGTGGCTTTTCAGGTGAGGAGCACGTGAGAAGATGGGTGTCCAGCACTCAGCACAGTGGCTGCACACAGTAGGTGCTCAACAAATGCTCATTCCCTTCCCCTCAGTTCCCAGTGAAAGGCCTCTCATATTTACAGCACTTTACTACACCTTTCATTTTTACTTGTGAACATCTGGCACATAAGATATTCATGACTCAAAAACTATTACCTACAGAAATGAAGGGAAGGTGTCTCCAAATTGAAGGAGGCAGCTCGGTGGCTCAGTGGGTAGAGCACCAAGCCTGAAGTCAGGAAGACCAGCTCAAATCTGACCTCGGACGCTAACTAGCTGTGTGATTCTGGGCAAGTCACTTCACCCTGTTTTGCCTCGGTTTCCTCATCTGTAAAATGAGCTGGAGAAGGAAATGGCAAACCACTCCAGTAACGCTGCCAAGAAAACCCCAAATGGAGTCACGGAGAATCGAATACAACTGAACAACAACAAAACCGAACTGAAGTCACTGACGTTGCTGTCCATAAATCTTGCAGAAATTTTCTCACACTAACGAAGTAAATTTAGAGTTCTTAACCATCATCGTAGTGCTTTAAAACTCTATTAAATTCAACAGCTCCTACTATGGGCAAGAAACTGTTGACCTCTGAAGAAAAAAAGGGAAAATCAATTCTTAATTCACAGAATTTACATTCTATGGGGCTACAACCTTTAAACAAATGAATAAGCCAAGACAATTTGGGGAAGGAGAGTGTACTATCAAGCGGGGAATCAGGAGGGGCTTTCTGGCAGCACATGAGATAAGCCCTGAAGGAAGCCAAAGCTGGCATCAGGAGGGATACCTGCCAGGTAGGTAGGAGAGACTGAGGCACAAGGAACAGTGGCAGGAGAAATACCGAGCAAAACATCAGACAGATATTAAAAACCGAAGTCACAGAGAGGCAGAAAAAGGGGTGGAGGAACAGCATCCGGGTCTGCAAAGACAGGGAGTAAAAAATGGAAGCCTTCCCTGACTATGAGCACCATCTTCCACCAGGACAACTTTCCTCTGCCTCAAAACTCTGAGCTCATCTATTCAGGAGGCATTTGGGGCATATTTGAACTCCAGAACCACAAAGTCCCTGCCCTCAGGGAGCTTACATTCTGTGGGGGAGGGGTGGTGGAGAGAGTCACAAAGTCTGAGGAAAAGTCAATACAGGAGAGATACAAACTGCAGAAAAGGAAGCTCTATAGCAATCCTCAAAACTGCTTGGCACTGGTTAAGAAATAGAGTAGTGGATCAGTGGAATAGGTTAAGCATGCAAGACACAGCAGTCACTGACTATAGTAATCTATAAACCCAATGACCCCAGCTTCTGGGATAAGAACCCACTCTTTGAAAAAAACTGCCGGGAAAACTGGAAAAGAGTATGGCAGAAACTAGGCATAGACCAAAATCTCACACCATATACCAAAATAAAGTCAAAATGGGTACATGATTTAGATATAAAGGCTGATACTATAAGCAAACTGAGAGAGCAAGGAATAGTTTACCTGTCAGATTTATGGAGAACAGAAGAATTCATGACCAAACAGGAGATAGAGAACATTACAAAAAGCAAAACAGATAATTTTGATTATATTAAATTGAAAAGTTTTTGCACAAACAAGGTCAATGCAACTAAGATTAGAAGGAAGGTAGAAAATTGGGAAAGAATTTTTATAACCAGTCTCTCCGATAAGGGCCTCATTTCTAAAATATATAGAGAATTAAGTCAAATTTATAAGAATACAAGCCATTCCCCAATTGATAAGTGGTCAAAGGATATGAACAGACAGTTCTCAGATGAAGAAATTAAAGCCATCTATAGTCACATGAAAAAATGCTCTAAATCACTATTGCTTAGAGAAATGCAAATCAAAACAACTCTGAGGTACCACATCCCACCTATCCGATTGGCCAACATGACAAAACAGGAAAATGATAAATGTTGGAGAAGATGTGGGAAAACTGGAACACTAATGCATTATTGGTAGAGTTGTGAAATGGTCCAACCATTTTGGAGAGCAATTTGGAACTATGCCCAAAGGGCTATAAAAATGTGCATACCCTTTGACCCAGCAATAGCACTTCTAGGGCTGTACCCCAAAGACATCATACAAATGGGAAAAGGACCCACATGTACAAAAATATTCATAGCAGCTCTTTTTGTGTTGGCAAAGAATTGGAAATTGAGAGGATGCCCATCAATTGGGGAATGGCTGAGCAAGTTGTGGTATATGAATGTAATGGAATACTATTGTGCTATAAGAAATGATGAACAGGCAGACTTTGGAAAAACCTGGAAAGACTTGTGTGGTCTGATGCTGAGTGAAGTGAGCAGAACCAAGAGAATGTTGTACACAATAACAGCCACGTTGTGTGATGACTAATAATGATAAACTTAACCCTTCCCAGCAATACAAGGATCTAAGACATCTCCAGAGGCCCTGTGATGGAAAATGCCATCCACATCCAAAGAAAGAACTATGGGAGTCGAATTGCTATTATTTTTCTCTTTTGTTGAGTTTTGTTTCCTCTTTCTGGTGGTTCCTCCTATTGGTTCTAATTCTTACCTACAACATGACTAATGTGAAAATATGTTTAATAGGAATGTATATGTATAGCCTATATCAGATTTCGTGCCGTCTTAGAGAGGGAAGTGGGGAAGGAGGGGGAGAAAAATTTAAAACTCAAAAGCATATGGAAGTGATTGTTGATAAATCAAAATAAACTAATTTAAAAAAAAAAAAGAAAGGGAAGCTCTAGACTGGGGAGATCAGCTCATCACGGTGAGCTTCTTGGAGGATGGGCCACCTGAGCTGAGCACTCTCACTGGATTCTAGACCAACCCAAACCACTTATTTCACAGATGAAGAAACTGAGGCTCGAGGTGACCTGGGCAGGGCCACCCAGCTAATGATTGTCAGAGGCAGAATTTGAACCCAGATCTTTCTGGCTCCAAGTGCCGGGCTCTACCCCCTACACCATGCTGCCTCTCTACACCCTTTTGCGCACAGACACCCACCCCAGCCCCTTCCTCACACCCTGCCCTGTTCCCGAAGCACCCCAGCGCCCCCATGTTTGGCCATGGATGCCCTCCCAGGATAACGAAATCACTCCCCCTCCCCTTCCCTCAACGGCCCACTGGCTACTCCCCCGCTGACACCGCAGTACGACACCCCATCTCTGGCCTCTGAGCCTTTGCACTGGCTGTGCCCCGACGCCCGGCGCGCCCTCGCTCTTCTCCTCTACATTGAGCCCACTCCCGAAATGACGTTATCATGAGTCTGGGGGCAACATCCGGCAAACAAATGTGAGCTCCCCACCTGCCTCAGCGTCCCCGCCGCGCCCCACGCAATGCAGACCCCCGAACAAGGCCTCCCGCCGCCCGCCGACCCCCATCAGCTGCCTAAATACCCACCTTCTCCTCCGCTTCCGCCATGGTGCTGCCGGCAATATCACGTGACTGTCGTCGGAAGTAGCGTAGCGGAAGTTGCGGGACTGTGGCCCCGGGGCATTCTGGGAAATGGAGTTTATCGCAACTCCGCCTGCTCTGGGAGCTGTCCAGCTGCTGATGGAGCTGCCGAGTCGGCTGCTCTCTGAGTATCCTTCCTGGGCTCCCAAAAAGCGGATGCCTTCGCACTGCTTGACCAGGGAAGAAAATGTTTTTAAAAATAGCAACAAATCCACCTTTGCATGAAGTATTTTTGATGTCCCCACTAAATTACCTTGTAGTTATTTTGTGTGTGTCGTTTACTCATTTATGTACATGTGACGCCCCCGTGAAATGTAAGAACCTTGAGGACAAGGATTACTTCATTTTTGTTTCTATATTCTCAGTACCTAGAAAACCATCTAACATATAGTAGGTGAGTAAAATTACTTCTCAACTGAAAAATTAGTGCTGTTTAAAAATGGAATGAACTAAAAAGCAATAGCTGGATGACCACTTATTTACATGAGGATTCAACTCAAGTATGAACAGATGACCTGACAGAATCACAGACTCTCAAAAGTTGAAGCGACCTCAGAGGACATCTAGTTCAACCTACTCCTAACAACAATAATTTCTACAATGTCCACCAAAACGTTTATCCAACCCATGCTTTCTAGTGGGGGGGGGGGGGTGACTATCTCGCATAATAGCTCAACTTCCCATAGTGCCAGGCCTGGAGTCAGAAATATTCCTTTTCCTGAGTTCAATTCTGGCCTTGGACACTTACTAGCTGGGTGACCCTGGGAAAGTCACTTCACTCTGCTTGCCTCAGTTTCTTCATCTGTAAAATGATCTAGAGAAGGAAGTAGCAAACCACTCCAGTGTCTTTGCCGAGAAAACCTCAAATGGGGTCGTGAAGAATTGGACAGGACTGAAAAACAGCTGAACAACAATATTTAGTTGCACTCAAAGATTCAAGTTACTAGGTCAAAACAAACCACATCTATGGTACTGGGGAAAAAAACCTAATAGATAATGATTGTGGAACTGTAAATGCTGTTTGAAAGGTTTTAGATGAGATAAATGATACAAGACTAAGGAAGAGGAAATCCCATCTTGACTTCCAAAGAAGAAAAAGCAGTAGATACTGCAAGGCTCCTAAGCATCTAGCAAAACTCTAGAATGTTTTATTGAGGGAATGTGGAGAGAATATTTAGAAAGAGAAAAAATAACATTAAAGCTAGCAAAACTAGCATTACTAAAGGGAAGGGTAACAATCTGCTCTCCAGCAGCTAGCAAACTCCTCCACCTTTCCTGATCCCAAAGGAAATCCTGCTTCCACTATCAGTCCTTCAGCCCTGCCCCTCCCATGACACTATCCTGCTTTGTTCTTCCCTAGAAGGTTCTACTTCTTTCTAGATGGTACAGTGGGGGAAAGAATCACTATTCTTGGAGTCAGAAAGATCAGATCAAATCCAGTCACTTAATAGCTGCATGAACTTGTACAAATAATTTAACTTCTGTCTACCTCAATGTCCTCACCTATAAAATGGGGATAATAATAGCATCTACCTTTCAGAGTTGTTGTGAAGCTCAAATGAGATATTTGTGAAGTGCTTTGCAAATTTTAATGAATCATGCAAATGCTACCTAATTTTATTATTGTTATTCCATCTCACACATTCTATTTTTAACAAATTACTTTCCATCAAGAATGTATGATCATAGATTAACCTCATCCCATTTTTTAAAAGCATCACTAGTGTGGTAGAACAGGAAATGCTGAATATCAGGGATGCCTAGATTTCAGTAATTTTTGCACTCAAACCTTTCTTTCTACCTAGTAAATAAAATTGAGAGATGTAGGCAAGATCATAAGGCATCTGGGTGTACTTGGAAGTGGTTGAATAAATGGACCATTAATAGGTCAACGTCAGTTGCAGTAGGTCCCTAGTAAAGTGCTCCATGGATTTCTCCTTCTTTCTGTGCTGTTCAACATTTTCACCAATGATTTGGATGAAGGCAATGAAAATATCTTTATCAAATTTATAAATTACACAAAATTGGGAAGTTTGGGTGACACAGCATATGACAGAGTCCAGATTAAAAAAAAATAAGAGAGAGATATCTCAACAAACTAGAATGATTAATCAGATCTGGTGAGACGAAATTTAATAAATATAAACTAAAATTTCTATACCAGGGCTCAAAAAACTGCAAACAGTACAAATCACTTTAAATATATTATCTCATTTGATCCTCTGAACAACTCTGTGAGGTAGCTGTTATTGTTATCCTTACTTTACAGAGGAGGAAACTGATCCTGAGGTTTACCTCCACCTCCACTGGTAGTGTTAGTGGGATATTACATTAGTTAATTAGCTGTGAATCCCCTGTGTAGGTCATGGGTGGGGTGTGGGGAGCTGTGTTTTATAAGTATGTTATACTCTTTTTAATTCACACAACAACCCTCTGAGGTAGGTGCTTTTATAATCTCACATTTTAGAGATGAGGAAACTGAGGCTCAGAGAAATTAAATGACTTGTCCAGAGTCAAATAACTAGGGAGTATCTGACTCCTTCATGTACTGCACTCTTCTATACTACATTTTCTCTCACTCAAATCATTTAAAATTTTAAAAAGTGCCCCATGAATCCCTGCTCTCACTTGCCAACCAGCCCCTTTCTCCTCACAGGGCAACAACAATTGTGTCAGGAAGTTCCTACCTCAAACATGAGCTGTATTCTAAAGGTTCTTTGGGTGATAGAATTGAGTAATTCCAGAGATTTTTTATTCAGACTGTGTCTCACTAACAAAGAGCTCAAAGAACATCTGTTCTCAGTGTCTCCAGACATAGACTAAACAGCTTTAAAAAGTGCATTTCACTTATAGAACTTCTCTCATATCTTTCACCAGAAAAGCACAAAACTAATTTTTCCTATTTTAAACTTGGGCCATGAATTCAATTGACTCTGAATGCAGGTGTTTAGCTCTGCCAGGTAAACTTGTTATTTTATTGAGAAGCTTTCATTTCCAATCAGTATTTGGAAACAAAAGACTTCATCTCACCCTGCCATTTGGTCTGCACATCATCTGGGCACCAGAGGCTCTTTTCTGCAGCAAGTGTCCAATTCCAAAAGATATTTATGATCTCAGAGGTTGATCCCTTCATGTTCCCCTGTTCCATTCAAATGCAAAAGTTTTATCATTTAAAAGGAGGGACTTAATTCCTGGGTCTCATTTGCCACAAAGCCTCATGGGAAAAAGCAATGGAATTAGAGGTGGGGGGGGATTAAATCCTATCTCTATTCCTTATGACCTTGGGCAAGTCATGTTTCTACTCTAGGTCCTGGCTTTCTCTCTGAAAATATAGTAAGGAGTTAGACAAGATGAAGAAGTTTCCTTCTAAATTGTGGAATAGGCTAAATATAGGATACTCTGATTCTATGGTGCTATTCACTTGGCAACTGTGTTCTCTGTGTGCATCTCTGTCTCTGAACTTCTTTGTCTTTCTCTGTCTCCTTGTCTTTCTGACTCTGTCTCTGTCTCCCTGTCTTTCTATCCCTCTCTCTGTGTCTCTGTCTGTCTGTCTCTGTCTATTTCTCTGTTTCTGTCTCTCTGTCTCTATCTGTCTTTCTCTCTCTCTCTCTCTCTCTCTCTCTCTCTCTCTCTCTC